CCCGCTTTCCCTGCCGCCTCCCGGCTCTCTATTGGCTAGCGCGGAGAGGCTGAGCGCTGATTGGGCCTTTCAAACACTTTTTACGCTATTTTCAGCCGGCCAATCCGCGCCCGAGTATCCGGCACTGCCGTGAGAGGCGGTCTGACCTTGCAGGGGAGCAGCTGTCGGCCGGGAGCAGACGGGACTTGCTGACCCCGGTGGCCCTCCTGCCTGGCCGGTGCCTGCTAATCCCCAGTGCGGTGCGAAGACCCCTGGAGCACGCAGGTGCCCCCTCGTGCACTGAGCCTAGCGCGGCCGGGAGGTGTCTGGGTGCCCGGCCCTCGGGCTCGCCGCAGGGTGGCGCCCGCCCCTGGCCATTCCCTTCCACCCCCACCCGCGCTTGACAGTCAGAACTCGTGACCTTAGGACCCAGACGGCTAAGCAAGCTCCTTCCTCACCACTTCCCGCCGTCCCTAGCCGGGAAGGATCACAACTCAAGTCTTCCTGGCTGCGGAAGTTTCTGGACGAAGCACCGGGGGTGGGGTGGGGTTGGGGGGGCGTGGTCTGCGGCTTTCCATCCGCTGCGGAGAGCAGGGCAGTGTAGCCGGAGGCTGTCCCCTGGCCGCGCCGCACTCTCCAACCCTGGAAGTGTTGTTTTACTTGCAAAGGCAGTAGCTCTCCTTGATGTTGTTTTATGGCTGCTCTTGTAAAATGTGCCCGGATTTTGCTTCCCCCTTCTTCCTCGCCACCCCCTCCCAAATAAATATAGGTGAAGATTTGTTCTGCGTAGAGTTATGTAGGTATAAATAATTTAGTGTTGGGAAGGTGTACAAATTCCACTCTAGTCTGCAGTTGGAGGAGCATAGCTTTTGGCCGGTCCCGGAGTTAAAGAAACTGCTATAGAGCAGTGAGGGAGAACTTCAGTTCTAGCCGAATTAGTGAATTAGTAAACATCAGGTCCCGCCCATTAGGCTGCCCAGAAAATCGGGCCTGAGCCCAGACCATTGGCTTGAAAATCACCCAGGGTTCACAAGCGTCATGCCCAAGTCCCAAGAGAAGAATGGACAAGGGATTGCAGCATGGCCCTCCCTCCTGGGGAGTGATTTCTTATTTTCCCTCTGGCTGTTTCTGTCTCTCTATGGCAAGCACACATGCCTGATGGTAAAAACCTAAAATAAGTAAGTAAATAAATACATAAATACAACAATAAAAATAAAACAGGTGACTTTTCTATTGCTCCAGAGCTCAGGCAAGCACAGACGCTGAAATAGCGGGAAACGAGTTCATTTTCCACGAGGTGTCAGCCAAAGCTCACAAAGCCTGTTTATTCTTTGGCCTAATGAATCCACTTGAAATCTATCCCAATTAATTAAAGATGTTGGCAAGAGATTCAGCTGGAGGATCTTTAGCGAAATACAATTTATATGCAGTCTAATACTGGAGACACGATTGAGTAATGGTGATGGATATGTATGTATCTGTGTTCCATTTGCCACAATTTTGAAGAACTGTGTTTATTGACATCTATAATGTGTATGATGTTCTCAATATAAAAGGAAGTTATCAACCTGTGAATCATGTATCTGCATTAAAAAAACACTATATATGTGTGTGTTTTATATATGTGTGTGTGTGTATATATATATATATTTTTTCTTTTGCTATAGGATGTATGTGTTCCCCGGAGATACAGAAAGAGACAGAGAGAGAAAGTGAGACATCAAACCCCAGGGGGGTGGCCATGTCACAATCTCTTCTCCATTCTCCTCTTGGGATTTTGGGCACACACCTGCAGGCACCCTGCATGAGTTTCAAGCCTCCAGGTCTGGGACTTAACCATGGATGGCCGTGGGAGTCCAGTGCCATAACCACTATGCTACCTGCTGGCCCTCAAAAACACACGTTATATTTGAAAAAATATATATTATATAAATAAATACATGAAACATTAAAAAAATACACTTTATATGTTTCGTGCCCTTACCGGTGATGCGGTCAGTAGCATACCGCACTGCAGTGCTGGAAGTCACCTGACTGACCAGGGGTTTGCATCCTCAGCTCTGTTACCCTAAAACCGAGATGGAGATCCTAACAAGCTGGAGTGCTGAGGGAAGGGGATCGCAGAAGGGATGAAGCCTTGTCAAGAGTGCTTTTTCTCTCTCTCTGTTATATGTGCACATGAGCACTCTAACATGAATAAAATAAACATTTTTTAAAAAGTAAAAATGCAGATTATATGTTTAAAACAATTTTAAAAGTTGTGGCCAGGGGGCACATGCACTCACCAGAGAGAGAAAGAGAGATACAGAGAGAAGGTGTCCCTCCTCCCCAGTGGGGCATGGTCAGCAATCCTCCTCTATTTCTCCTTCCCATCAGGATCTTGACATTCATTTACTTGAGCTGCCTGGGCTGGGATTTGACTATGGTAGGCCATGTAGGATCTGGTTTCAATGACCAGCTTTTATCTTAACAACTGTGCCTCAGGGCCGATCCAGTTTTAAAATTTTAAGTACAGTACAACAATGCAGCTAAAGAAAACTAATATTTTTTAAAATCCCATAACGTTATCCAGAGATAGTGCTGGATGATGTTATGATTGACTTTCACAAACACTTGTTTTCTCTAGCTGAATTTTCTAGAATAAGCATGTGTTATGTAATTACAGGTGAGTGACTTGTGTAACAAAAAACACCAGAGACTGATTGTCTTAGATGGTTTTGTGCTGCTATAACAACATACCTGAGACTGGGTAATTTATAACAGACAGGAATGTCCTTCTCACAGTTGGAGGCTGGGAAGTCCAAGGCCGTGGGGCCATCAGCTGTGAGCGCATTCTTGCATCATCCCACGGTGAGAGGTGGAAGGGCAATAGAGCAGGATGGGGGGTAAACTCATCATTTATAAGGCACTCCCTCCCAAGAGAAAGAACCCACCTCTGCATTAACTGATTTACTGTGTCCTCATGGCCTACTCACCTTTCAGTAGGCCTCACTCTGTGAACTTTGCTGTATTGGGGATTAAGTTTCCAACGCCTGCTTTAGGGAGGACACATCAAACCAAAGCACCAATCATGTGTTCTTGCACTGACTCCATAAGCCAGAGACCTTGTATCCACATATGCACACATGGTTTCCAGCCAGCAAGTGGTACGGTGGTTAATGTGCTGGATTCCCATATGGCCATCTACAGCTGGAGTTCCAGACCTGGAGGCTTAAAAGTCACTCTGGGTGCATGTGCGTGTGTACCTAAAATCTCAGGAGGAGAAGGGACGAGAAGGGATTGTGGCATGGCCATCTATTTGGGAAGTGTCTTCTCACTTTCACTTTCTCTATCTGTTTCTCTCTCTCTCTCTCTCTCTCTCTCAATCTCTCTCCCCAGCAAGTGCAAATCCCTATGGCAAAAACCTAAAACAAAAAAAAAAGAAAAAGAAAAAGGCACGCATGGTTCCTAGGCTACACACCTGTGTACCATGTTGCTGTACAAATACTACAGGCAATGGTAACATGATGATAAGCTTTTGTGTACCAATGCATAGCTAAACATAAAAAGGTACACTGAAAATACAGTCTATAAGGTATAGCACAGTACATCTGAGTCATGCACTTACCGGGAGTGAACTTGCAGGACTGGCAGTTGCTCAGGTGCATCAGTGAGTGAGTGGTGAGTGAATGTGAAGGCCAAGGACATCAGCATCTTCTACCACAGACTTTATAAACATTAGACACTTAGACTACTCTAACTTTATTTTTAAAACATTTTCTTTTTTTCAGTAAAAATTAACATTAGCTCATTGTAACTGTTACGGATAATTTTTGAACTTATAGACCGTAAGTGTGATATTCTTCCTCATTAAATAAGGGTAATATAAGTTTGCTAGATTGAGTGTGTTACATAGGAATATGAGAATATGAGAGAGTAGCATTCATAACAGCAAAAAAAGTTTAGTGATTTCCATTTGGAATAGAGATTTTTTGATGCTAGAGGGCAAGTGTGAGAGAGAAAAAGAGGGAAAGAAAGAGAGGGAGAGAAAGAAAGGAGAGAGCTGCCTAACAGGGCCTGGTCATAAACATCTGATTTTCACCAATGAAACCTCATCTTCAAGAACAATCTGTCTGGGCCAGCAGGGGTCATGGTGGTTAAGGTGCTGGACTCTCACATGGCTGACTGTGGTTTGAGTCCTAGACATGGTGGCTTGAAAATCACACCAGGTGCATGTGTGTGTGTGTGTGCCCAAATTCCCAGGAGGAGAATGGAGGAAGAGGGATTGCAACATGGCCATCATCCCTGGCTAGTGATTGCTAACTTTTCCTCTCTCTGGTGAGTGCACACACCATATAGGAAAAACAAACAAACAGACAAAACCATCTATCATAGTGGCAAAAACATGGATGATCCTTGAGCTTTGGCTGAATGAGATTAAAAAGAGGAATGGAGAAGGGAAAGGTTTCCATGGATGTCTCTGAGTGTCAATAGTCTCGTGTCAATAGTCTCGCATGAGTCCCCATGCTTGTATAGATTATGAGAACTCCTTTACACCCCTACAATTCCACTGATCTCTGGCCTGCACCCTTCCTGAAAACTACACACAGCCAGCATCTGCTCCTTGGG